ATATACAGCCTACCTGAGTGCTGACATTCTTGTGTCTGTCTCTGATACCACAACCATAATAATCTTTATATAATTACTGACAAAAATTGCACCTTAACTGTATTGAACTCATTAAGTAACTTAGAAAGGATTACATTGAAATTTAGTTTGGTTTTACTAGCTCCAACCCTGTGGCAACCAGGCTAAACCTGGGCAATTCAACAGAGAATCAACCCTGCTATTTCTAGTGTCTTCACCAGTACATATTTTCCAGGTTTTACCACTAATCTGGATTTCTCACTGACTTCACCGGGAATCACAATCCATAAAACTAAGTTTTATAGTTTTAACTGATTTTTTTTTAATGCCTATTTTACCTCTTGCCACTTGCCACAATGTTAAAAAAAAAAAGCCAAATAAAAAACCCCAAAGTAGAGTGATATACTTTTAAAGGAAAACTGTCCTGCTTGTAGACATCAGAATAAGCCTCTGTAACTATCGAAAATCCAACCCTAAATTATGTTCTGAAGAAACAGAACACATGTCCTTCCCCTCCCACCAACATGCCCTTAAGAGCCTTAGCTCTACTTTCTTAGACCAGAACTTCACCTAATTCCTAGGGAGGGGGAATTTTTGGAAATGAAAATATTTTGCATCTTAGAATTTTGACAACCAGAGGGGGAATGCTTCTTTCTTCTCTTGATTCTGACTGTCCTCCCATCATCTATTTCACAAGACAGGTTGTTCTTTTGTTTTTTGTTTTGTTTTGTTTTTTTAAACAAAAGTGTTTCCAAGAGGGAACCGGGAAGAAAAAGTACGTGTAGAGCTACTGCCACCTACAGTCTGGCTGAGAAAATGCCAGCTTCGGGGGAAAACACAGGCGTAGTAATAATTTGGTTTAAAGTGTCCAGCCAGAGGACATTTCAGTATAATTTATAATATTTATATTATTAAAAAAATTATAATAAATTACATTTAGGATTCATGTAAGAATCCTTAAATGCCTTTATGAAGATCTTAATCAGGTCCTATTTGCTTAGCCTTTATTATGGGATAGATGATTTTTCCTGTAGATACTAATGATACCTTTCAAAACCTGAAAGGAGGATGGAGCAAGGAGGTAGAGGATCTCTTCTCCCAAGTGACAAGTGGTAGAACAAGAGGTAATGGCCTCAAGCTGCATCAGGGGAGGTTTAGACTGGATATTAGGCAAAATTTCTTCACAGAGAAGGTGATCAGTTATTGGAACAGGCTTCCCAGGGGCGTGGTAGAGTCACCATCCCTGGAAGCATTCAAACACTGTGTAGACAAGGCCCTTAATGACATGGTTTAGTGGTGGACTTAGCAGTCCTGGGGTAATGGTTAGACTTGATGATCTTAAAGGTCTTTTCCAACCTATCTGATTCTATGGTTCCGTAATTCTGTGATTGACACCCTAAAAAAATCTCAGTTTTTTTCCCCCATGTTATACAGTGAACCACTTTAATAGACACCAGATGTAAAGAGGAATGAGTTCCTACTGGCACCACAGTGATGGATGCTGTTGCTTCAGCTGAGCAGAAGTGAGGTGTGTTCCAAGAAACAAGAGGGTTCCAAAATTCCTGCAAACAGATCATGGTCAGATCTATAGTAGTTGTCTTTGGTCTTCCTGACACTGCAGAAGCAACAAATTGAAGCAAGAGATGAAGCAGTAGAGTCCTGATAGAACATGCAAATAAAACCCACAAAGAGTGGGAATATAAAGATGTACTGTGTCAAGTGCCTGGTTGCTGCTAGTAGAAAAGAGGTTTTTTTTCTCCCTCTGCCCCATTCTTTCCCAGTGAATGTCAGACAGTTTTTGAAGGAGTTAGTCTAAAAAAGTCAGAAAATATCATGCCTTTTGGGAAACTCTCATGACCTTTAAGGAGAAGATGGTACTGAAAACCATTCAGACCAGCTACATGATCTAATTCCCCCCGGCCCTCCTCTTTAACCAGCCAATGTTGTGAAGATGTGTTCAGTGGTGGTGTTTGTATCATTCTGTTCTGGAAGCAACACAGGTGCTTGTGCCTATGTTTCACTGATAATCTGACAACAAACATAACTTTTTTCAAAGCCTATTAAATATGTGTTTAACAGCCTGGAGTTTTTTGGGTTGGTGTTAATTTTTTTTTTTCTTTCAGGTTTTAGGCTACTCTAGTAGCATGTTTAGCTCCACTTGATGGCGATATGTAGACAGCATGGATTGGTTTTCTATTAATTATAGGAGTTCTAGCTTTAGATGTTTTAAAAGTTTCTTTTCAGCCTATAGTCTTCAGTGACTTAAAAATAGTGATCAATCAAATTAAACTCACATGGTCCTAATTAGTCATTTAGGCTTGTATTTATCACTGGGTTTGGACAATGATGACTTGTATACCTGTGTTCTTTGCAAAATGAAGGCAGCCTTACACATAATCAGAACATAGAAATTGGAAATCCAAGGTAAGCCAACAGGACAACGGCAGCGGCTGCTGTTGCCATCGTCTAGGAACGCATGTTGTAGGTTTGTGACTGACGGTAGATGGAAGAAATTCAAGCTATGAGCAATTCTGGCATTGGTAGGTGAGGCATCTATGATACTGAAGTATCTTATGGCTCTGGATTTGATAAGAAGTTATAATCTTAACAAATGTACTATTAGTTGAGAATCTGGGGGGGCTTCAGGAATGGATTCAACCCTTGTCCTCTGTCGTTCCTTCATGACAGTGAAATAGTTGGTGAGATTATACATGCAAACACAAGGATGATTCCGTGTTGTTAACATGCTACAGAAGGATTTGGGTAGCATGGGTTCAGTTCCTTACTTTGCAACAGTTTGAGTGACCTGAAGTATGCAGGCCAAGGCCAGCAAAAGGGCTTATACACAGCTCCTCATACTAATGAGTATTAGACACTTGAATTTCATTGCAGATTTGTCCCTTAATCTATTTCAGTCCAATTATTTAATCTGAAATAGGGATGGTATTCCTCTCCCATGCTATGGTTGTGCCTCTTTTATTTGTGTAAGCTCTTCATTGAGGACTGGTTTTCACCAGTATGTGGAGAGACCAGTGGTATTCTTGTCTCAATGGACAGTAAGATAATTCACAACAATCTGTAGCAGCGGTGATAATAACCACACCCAGCCACAGAAGAGAGTTAAGAGCTTTCTATTTTGTGCTTGAAACATACTTATTTCACTGACAAGGAGTGGAGGGGTAACTAGACTGACATGCTTTTCTCGGGAAGCAAAAGGTTCCCTTTACAAACCTGTTGTAGCTTTTGATGGTCTGTTAAGCGTTCAAGTTCTCTTGGGTCTTGTCGTGGTTTAAACTAAACCCAGGACATGTCTCTACTAAATAATAAAGGATTTGTGGCAGACAATGAAGTTAGGAATGCTTTTTGAATTCTTATGACTTCAAATGAAAGGTAAATAATTTCAGGAGTTTGGATTTTAGTGTTTCATGCTGTAAAGAAGTCACTCAGTATGTTTTGCATCATTTCTAAAAAATTATGATGGGATGTCTTGCCCTTATTATAGCACTTCGTTTTGCTGAGTGGAAAGTTGAAGAGAATAGGTCCCACAGCTTAAATCTCTATTAAGTATCATTTTGTTGGAAAATCCTCCATTTGAATGCTGCTTATTTTTAATGGTATCTTCGGTGATGGAAAGCTTCTGAGATCGGTTGGAAGACAGTGTGACTTGTTCCTGTAGCAGTCTCATAGGCACTGCATCAAAGATCTCTATCTGACAATGCCACATTGCTTACATTCTTCTTTAGATTGTTATAGTGTTCTTTGAGTGCAGTAGTTCCTGCCAAAATTCACAAATAAAATACGATTTAATGACCTCATATTTTAACATTCCAGAAGTCAAATAGTCAAACTTTTAATACCTCTGCATTGTGTAGTTTTCATTAGGCATACTCTGTAAATGGATGCAAACTACAAGACACCTCTGTTACACTGGTTGAGCTCTACTTTCATGAAAAATGTGTTTGTGAATTTAAGACATTTGTGTGGTATCATAGAAAGATGCAATAAAAGTGGGGCAGGCAGAAAACCCTGAGCATTCAAATGTGGTGTTCAGGAAGGAAAAAAAAGCAAAGCTAGAAAAAACATATCCAAGATGTTCACAATTTTTTTCAGATATAATATCTAATTATCTAGACAGTGAGTAATGACAAGTATATTCCTTATACCCACTTTCTGAAGCTTCTGAAATATTTCAGTAAGCATGTATTGAGGACTTCAGGAAATACATGGTTAATTTAATGTGAAAATCCTTACATCAACCATAGCATTCTTCAACATTTTGGTAATAGGATAACCAAGCCACAGTTTGAGAATCAAAATTAAGTATGTTTTGTTATTGGTGGTGGTTTTGTTGCTTTGGGGTTTTTTTAAATGTGATTGGAGAAATTCTTTATAAGAAGTATCTTCTTCTGATCTCTCATGTAATTACTCTAGCAGTTTAATTGTTTCTTCATGAAGTATTTTATTTTTTAAAACAAAGGTCAAAGGTTTCAGAGACTCAGCTGGAAATGGAACCTTTGTGCAATGACCACCAGTTGGCATGTGTGAGGCAGTACAGCAGCTTACTGTACTCACGGGAGTTATTTTTTCTCAGATGTGTAAGAAAAAGTGTGCTTTAAGCCTTCCAGTTTTGCAGTAACAGCAGAAACCATTGAGTCATTCCATTGTTTGGTCTACACAGATTACTTGGTTTGAAGCGACAAACATCCTAGTATACACATCTTAATGGCACTGTGATCTTAGCTGGTTTCTCTAAAGGCTATTGAAAGCAAATTAAGAAAATTAACTGCCTATTTCAGAACATAGCCTTACCTGTGAATGAGAGCTGGTGCATGGTGAGCTTTGCTGAGCCAAGTTCTGAACCTCACCTGCTGGAGCTGTTCCTTGGGAATGTGGTGTGCTGCTCCTCCTCTGAACCCCTTAGGACAGAAGTGATATGTTTTTCAGGTAGTACTATAAGACAACTACCACAGCTACCCTGTTACTGACACAGCAAATATCCCATGCTCAGATTCCATTGTGTCTAACTTGAAGGTATTGTAATAGGTTACAGCCTAGTAACCTTTAACAGAAGAGTATACATTAATCCTCTCCCCATACCTATATCATGAAGAGGATTCAATTTTACTCCTTCAGCCCAAATGAGCTGCTTAAAGAAGAAAGTATGAGATGCTTCCCCTCTTCAGGTGTGCTTCAAAAACTGAATTTATTCTAGAGCACTGTAACTTTTTATAGCTTCACCATGACTAGTCATGTTGACTTAAACCAACTGTGTATTCTGTCTATGGCAAAGTTTGATATTGACAGTTGAGCTAATGCATAATCCTTGATGAATAATTCAAGCAAAAATGGCCAGAATTATTAAACCAGTGCAGGGCTGCAGGTTTACATTGAGGGGTTCCTGGATTTTCTATTGTTGAGTTTTCAAATGTAAATAGCAGAATGCGATTGCTATGCATTTGATAGAACAGCTTTGTACTTTTTAAGGAACTCCAGAAATGTTGGACTGAATTTTACTGGATATAGGAAACTTCCAGTAGGGACCTTGCTTTCATTTAAGAGGCCCATGGTAGTCCACAGGCTTTTCTTTCTGAGAAAGTTTCTTGTACGTTCAGAAAACATGTAACAGATAAACTAAGTCTTTCCATCTGGGGAGGGTGATTTAAACAAACAAAAAAAGTCAAATATATGGCAAAAGTAGAAAATCTCACCAGGACATCAGCTTATCTCATTTATTTTGTATCCTAGGTAGGGGTGAAGCCAAACGCTTGAGGCATTCACTCATTGTCTGCAAGTTTTCACAGTGGTGTGTCTTATCTGTAAACACTTCAGTAATGTTACAATTCCAAGCTGAATACTGGAAAATGAAGGAGTGGTACTGTGTTGTTGCTGGCATTCTTTCATGACAAAAGACTGTTAGCATAATGCTTGGGAGCAGGGGTTCTCTCTGAACTTACTCATCTGAATGTATCTTAACTGAACGGCTGCAGGTGCTTGTATTTCTTAGACTTGTATCTCTGAAATACAAAAAAGACATATACTGAGAGTTCCTGTGGTGTTGTAGACTCATACAGGACTTGTTGGAAGTTAAAATTCGACACACAATAAACCAAAACTAGTGCTGATTTATTTTCATGGGCTGTTTGTAAACTGCAGTAAGTTGCTATCTTATGAGCAGCTCAGCACTCTGCATAGCAGTAGGCTGTTTGGAGGCAAGATAAAGAGCTGGGGCAGGGTACTGCGGCAGTTATCTCATCATGCGCCTTCGTATCAGTCAGAGCCCTCTGTGCCTGCTCACAACTGCTGCTGATTCTTCTAAACACTGAGACCAAAATCTGGAGTCTGTATGGGATGACTCAGGCAAGTGTATGCTAATATTAGGGTTTCTGCGTGTTTGTCCGATTTTTATATTGCAAGTGCAGCTACCATCTATGACTCAAATGTGATTTTTGGGGTAGCAAGTGGCCTTGCTCTGTCCAGCTTCTAGTACAGTGGGATCCTAGTCTGGGGTTTACATATTACTATCAGAGGACGGTCTGGTACAGCAATATTTTGGAGTAAGACAAATCCATTTGCAAAGTAAAAAATAAAGCGTGTATCATTAGGGATGTTGAAAGAAGGGCATATTTAGGGGTGAAGTGACAAGCTGAACTGTTATGACACAGACACATGCTGGTCAGTGCTCACTGTCTTGACCATATACTGTAATATCACTGCAGTGAGGCTGTGACTTTAATTACACTTGCATTTCAAGCCTGGCACAGCCAGACCTTTGCTGGACTTACGGAAAAACACAGTGTGTAAAGAGCAAAAGAGCTGCAAAACCCAAGAAACACTACCTCGATATGTTTAGCTAACCTAATTATTTTAATAAACTGCTTCCATGCTGACATGAAAGTTTGATAGGAAGTTGGTGTCGGGGAAATGCACGCTATTGTTGTAGTGCAAATCTAATTACTCTGTGGGACATCTCACATGCTTAGCCAGTCCTTGTCCAAGGATTGCCTCAGCTCTTTAGCAGCTCCAACTTTTGAGAGCAATGCAAAGAAACTGTGACTGCTGCTTGAGTTAGGTGGCTTCCTGATGTAAAACTACCCTGGTTTGAATGAAGAATTGATGACAAAGTAATAAAACAGTAGGCCGCCATAGAGAATGCAGAGGTGGCTAGAGTCTCTGGCAAGTATCAAAGGAAGTCAGAGGAGGTGCCAGCAGAGAGCAGTTAGAAGAGGCAACAGGTACCACTTCTGCCAGTTTCTAGCTCTACAGAAGATGTTTTCTGAGCATTATGCATGTCCAAATACTGTTTACCATGCTGCAGATTACTTGTGCCAACGTGTTATATTTAATTATTTGGCTACACACAGCACAGCAAGATGCGTATTAATAACTATATTGGTTATTGCATATGGAAAGCTGATAAGAAAGAGTAAGCACAGTTGGGAGTACTAAAATGCATGTGTTATATTTGTGCCATCCTCTGCTGTACCTTTCAGAATTTTTTAATTCCTTATGGTTGGTAAAAGGGAAAAAATAAAAAAGTGATGTGTGCTGCTATGCGATCTAGGAAGAAAAAGCGCTTCAAGTCAGTGAAACAGTGGTAAAACAAAAATAAGCCAAGAGCTCTCTCAGCAGAAAGGGTAATTAAAGTATTCCCCATCTCTTAAGCATTGTCCTTCCAGGAACTATCTGGAAGTTCCTTTTTCCTGAAGTTTGCCAAGATCCCCAACTCAGTAAAAGAAATTGAGGGTATGCAAGGTGCCCTCAAGAGCAAGGTTGACATAAGGTAGTGGTAAGCATGCTCTTGAGTGGTCCATGTAACACCCAACACATCTGAGACCACATGTTATAAGAATTTAATCTTGAACATTGTTTTTAAAACATTAGTTCTAATTTTAAGAATGATCAGCACTTCTGATACTGAATTTTCAGCATGACTTAGTTACTTGGATAATATTTTCTCTGCAATATGTATTCAAGAATCTCAAAGAAGTTCAGTACTACACTAATGACAGTTAAAGGCTGGTAGGATTTGTTGTTGTTTTTCTTGGCAATGTGACTGAATTAAAGAACAAAAATATGTACCAAGATGGAGGATATGTTCTGCAGATGTTTCTGCTTTATTGCTTTCTAAAGATAGCTTGAAGTTTTAAAATTTACTAACGTGGGGACTGGCTTAGCTGAAGTGAAGACCTTCCATGCTTTTAGTTTCTTGAAAACTATGTTATGAACAGAAACTGAACTATTTCACTTACAGAAAGAAGAAGAAATTAAATAGTCATGATTGGTTATATTCAATTATACTGTGCTTCCTAAGAAGCATAAAGTAATCCTGGCAGTATTAAAAAAATGTAGTAAAGATAGGTTGTCTCTGGGAAATCTTGCAAGAATTCCAGAGGGGTGAAAAAGGTGTGATGAATAAGCAATAGCAGAAATAGCATTGTTGATAGCGAAGTTATTTTCAAACTATATTGCATAGACTTTGGATTTGCTCCTAATTCTGCTAACATCAATGAAACTTCAGGAATTGCTAAGTAGAGGTGTGCTTGTGCCTGTTACTAAGATCAAAGCTTTTATAGTTCAGTTTTCAGTGGTTCTTACAAAAATGAATGTTTTGTTATGCTACAATGACAAGCACATCAAAATAATCTTATAAATTAACCGATTGCATCTTTTTAATTACTTATGTTGTCCATCAACCTATGATGTTATTTTAAAGGTAATCAAGGTAGTCACACAACTTGGTGATCAACAGAGACCTTTTCTTTCCAAGAAGTGTGTACCCAGCTATTTTTCTGACATCCTCCTTGGCAAACCATTAGTCTTACAAACTTGCATACGTTAGTGCTACTTGTACATGTCTGGGCATTGGGAAGAAAAAGGGGATGAGCAGGCACTGGTCATTCAAATTTATGTCTAGGTAAAAATAATATGACGTAGTAACACAAAGTCTTTCCCCATGTTTTCTTGTCTCAGCCAATTGATTGGGTTGTGAAGGTTCACTGTTCTTGAGGGTTGTGTTCTAAAAACATTTGTAAAGTTTGTATGTCAATAGAGGAACTCTATATACTTATGGATTCTCAATCTGAACTTTCTTATCTGATTGCTATTTGACTGTATTTCCCACCTGGGAACATAAAAAGGGCTAGTCTTTTCTCAAGAAAAGACTTTGCTGATTACTGTTCAAACTGTTAGAGGAGCCAGCTGTGTCTATCACAAGATATTGCATGACTTTGTCACTTTTTTTTTTCTGTTTATTTACAAAACTGAATCAGGTTAGATGTGCCTGAAATGTGAAGAAGTATAAGGCTTGGGGGAGAGTATTTGTGGTAGCAGAACAAGAGAGAAACAGGTCAAGACCTCTCTCTTCTGCTGCTTTCTGAGTTTAAGCATGTGCGTCTCTTTTCTTCCATCCAGTAAAGGCAATATAAAAATGGAAAGCTGTCTGATCATCTCAAGCAGGGCTAGAAGAAAATCAGAAATTAGGATACAGTATTCTAAATCTAGGGTAGTGGCTTCAGCAGGATGATTTAAGGCTCAATACTTGAACTTAGGAGATAGGTAATAAAGAGAAGCCAGGTCTCTAAGCTGTCTGGTAATGGAGACTCTTGCAAGTAAAGCACTAAAATTGTTTGGAAAGCCTCTTGCCAGTAATTGCAGCTGTTCAGTTCACTGCACAAATGAGCTGGTTCATTCTGTCTGTCCTGTTAAATCTTTACTAGTATCTAGCAGTTGATCTGATCATTTTTATTGTTTAGTAGCCACTCTGTAGTTAAGGACACATTGTTCGCAATATCTAGATAGGGAAGGGGAGAAACAATGAAGTTTTATTGTGTTTGCAAACAAGTCCATTGTGACTCTGTGGCATAAAATCAGGAGCACAGCTTGACCCTTCAGTGTTAGGAGGGCAGTGCTGAGGTATGAAGTGTATGGATTTTTCTTTCTTGAGTCAGTGCAGAGAAGAAGAAAGATCTGAAACCCAACTTGCTCATTTGGTCCCAGCTACCCACTTC